ATTGCTCAATTACTTTACTATTGTTAAGTGATAACTACAATGTAATGACAATAATACAACATTATGATCAATGTACCATAAGTACACAACTCCACATCCAGTAAAATAGTTGTTATTTTTATGAAACTTCATCAAGTTCTGCTCATAACACTGGAGTGGAGAAGATACCTGAGCTGATGATAGTGTTAGGTGATGCATAATGATATGAAGTGCTTATGGTATAAACAAAGTACTAAAGATATTGTTGTTGTGTATTTTTACTTTGTACTTGTATACTCCTTTTCATTCATAAATTATAAATGTTTTTTCTCATTACTTAATTCGTTATTACATACAGACACAGACCATTGATAACCAAAGGAAAGATAATAAAATAGAATTTACCAAAAGGAAAACCTTCTACTGGCTAGAAGCAACTCCAATCAGCAACAAAAATAGCTTACACTGTTAAGGTGTTTGTACCTGTTTTTATCCCTTATCACTAAAGGTGTCAGTGATAATGTAAGTTTCTCTCTTGTCACTGGTGGTGATTGTGAGGGATAATGTGTGTTCATCCCTTGATACAGGTGATGTCATTATAGTATATCAAGGTGGTGAGTGTGGGGGATAATGGCAGTGGCTACATCAGGTTTCCAGTACACAGAAGTTTTCCATATTTCTTAAATATGGAAAAATTGCACTGCTCTGTCTATTTACTATGGAAAATAGTACAGTATACATTACTGCCAAAAGATAACATGGATATGTGTTGATTATAATTTTATGTTTAACAAAAGCACTGAAAAGTAAAATATGAGATGCCAAACTATGTTAATGGGGATTGATGGTTCACTTCATCTAATCAAAAGCAAGATGATACTTAACAAAAATGATAACAGACAAAGAACGATGAAGTGAACCGGAAATCCTATTTTATGACCCAGCCTGGACCAGATGACTTGCAGAATACCTATACTGTTACTGTACAGTATAAGTTCCTGAGGTCAACACCCTGAAAACCCATTCCACTCTGCCCCTTCCAAAGAATTACCATCTGTTCCCCTTAACAACACTTTTTTTTAAACCAACAATTCTGATTCTGGACATATTTATGGAAAATTTTAAGACAGCCATCTTCTGTTCCTTCACCCCTGTAAAGCCACCTTGAGCTACTAAAGGATGGAAACCACTCAGCCCATGAATCTTGCTCTAACTCTCCCACAGGTCTTAAATAACCTTCTTCTTTAATTCTTCCAAAAAGATCTAGTTTTTCATGATACAACCTAACTTACTCATTGGAAAACTACTCACTTAGTTTAAGTGTGCTCCACATAAACCATAACCAATGAAAATCCTGGTTGAGAGGAAGACTCCTCTCAATTACGAAGAAACTTGCACCAGAGAGTTTGAACTACAACCAGAGTTCCACCAAGCTGAATAACAGTGAGACATCTGCATAGAATTCATTCATCCATGGGGACAAGAACACTTCAACCTCCTGAACCTTCCAGTACATGAAAAATTCGATCTTGAGTGACTCAGCATCTACTTAACCCGTAAAAGGTCACATTATTATACATCATGGTACCCCCCTGCTCATGAAAAATCAAATTTTTGTTTTGTGGCCCAAGATGACGTAAGAAAACAAGATATAATAGCAAAAGTGGCAACTCGCCTCATTTAAAAGTACTGCGTGGCATTTAAACCCTGAGCTGATGAAGTATTACCAAGCCTACTCGCTCCCAGTGCTGTCACAGTACTTCCGGTCAGTCTTACAGCCATGTATATACTGTACATGATTTTTTCTTTCACACACACACAAAAAAAAATAATAATAATATGAATGTAGCAGCATAGCAAATGACACAAAAAAAATTATGAAATAAACAGATGGATGTTTTTTATTATAAGTGACAATGCTATACACTCAAGGTCGAGGGATGTATTATCCGTCCTTCTCAGTTTATTTTCCGTTCCACTTGCTTTATTTTCCTTACATTTTTACTAATAATTGCACTTTGATTACTATGGCAATATGCAATGTAGGAAGGAAGAACAAGTGTGGGAGGAAGGAAGGAGTGTGGGAGGGAGAAAGGTGTGTGGGAGGGAGCAATGTGGGAGGGAGGGAGGGAGCAGTATAGGAGGTCGGAAGCAGTGTGGGAGGGAGGGAACAGTGTGTGATGGAGGAAGGAGGAAGAAAGGAGTGTGGACGGATGTAACCATGCAGTGGGACAGGGAGTGGTAGGGGTAGGTGAAATGGAGGGAATATTGGACATTCTTGGAGATTGGGGGGGGGGGGACAACCCTTTCTCCTCCACTTGTCGTCGCCTTCCTCTTGTTCAAACACGCAGTCTGGGTCACTATCTTTATCACCATCAATATCACTATCAATACATGCCTCTCTGTCAATATCTTGTTCATCTTCACCCCTACCAAATAATTCAGAGTATACCTCATTCTGACTGAGTGACCAGTTACATTCACATGCCATGGCTATTGAGGCTCTACTGCATAGTACCGTAGCCTTGACTGTGGGAAGAGACGGGAGGGTGGGGTCCCCTAGTGGGGGGTTCTTTAAGGCCAAGTGGTGGGAAATATTTACACAAGATGTCAGACACCACCAGCCACCACATTATGGTAACTAGACTCAGTTTCAAGGGCGCGGGAAAAGTATATTTGGAAAACATTCTAGTACGTAAATGACCAGAGATAGGAACATCGGTGATCACGTACCTGAACGTTAATGGCCGGCTATGGGTTAAAAAAATGTGATTATTTAACTTTTGAGATGAATAATATTGAAAACCTTCAAATTGTGTCCCAATGAGTGAAATGTGATAAATTCACCTCATTTTTGGTGACTTTATAGCTTTAAAAGCTCAGGGATCCTGAGATCAATGTTAAGAATATTAGGAGAGACAGATCGACTCTTACTAAACAACTATCAGCTCCCTGAACAAATTGTGGAGCATTTCATTATACAGTACAGTATCCAGTCCAATGAGGACATACTGTATGTGCATCATCACAATAGTACCCATCTCCTGAATTATGTAAGGGTTCCCTGTACACTTGTCTGGATAGTAGAATCATTTACTCTAGGCATTAGGTCATAAAAATATATATATATATATATATATATATATATATATATATATATATATATATATATATATATATATATATATATATATATATATATATATATATATATATATATATATATATATATATATATATATATATATATATATATATATATACAGTATTACCCCGCCTAACGCGGTTTCACTTAGCGCGTTTTATCATATACGCGGTGCCTCGCCAGAGCTGAACTTTCACTTAACACGGATTTTTTCATCATATACGCGGTGAGTGTCCGGCTCGAGACGCTATTTTTAGATTTGCCCCACCCGCCACCCTGCCTGACTGCCTGTTTTAGCTCATAAAATTCATACAAATTACCCGGCCAGAATATAATTTACATTGCTGGAATTCTTATAATTTGGTGATCATTTTGAATATAAACATCATATATTTTGCATTAGACATACAAATTTTAGATAACATTTTTTCTCTGGGTAACTATGTTATCTTTTGTGCAAAATATATGACATTTATATTCAAAATATTCCTGGTCTTACAAGGAATCCAGCAATGTCAATTATATTATCCTAACTTTAGTTTGAGGTATTATTTATTACAAAAAAGTTAAGTATTCTGGTTTTCCCACACATCTCCTTGGGACGGTTGGTGGAGGGTGGGGGGGAGGGAGGGACCGACCGACCATCTGTTACCCCGTGAAGAATATTTTTTTTTTTTTATTAACTGAAGATATTTGTTTTAGCTCATAAAATTCATACAAATTACCCGGTCAGAATATAATTTACATTGCTGGAATTCTTATAATTTGATGATCATTTTGAATATAAACATCATATATTTTGCATTAGACATAAAATTTTTAGATAAAATGTTTAATCTGAGTAAGAATGTTATCTTTTGTGCAAAATATATGACGTTTATATTCAAAATATTCCTGGTCTTACAAGGAATCCAGCAATGTCAATTATATTATCCTAACTTTAATCTGAGGTACTATTTAATACAAAATGTTAAAATCTAAATTTTTCACCCAACCTTTCTCTTGAAGGGAGGATTGGTGGGGGGGAGGGTTGGAACTGACCGCATGGTTGGAAGAGGGGGAAGGCAAGGTGGGGTACTTTGATTGACAGATAGTGTCCTGAAGATTATTATTTTTTTATTAACTGAAGATATTTGTTTTAGCTCATAAAATTCATACAAATTACCCGGCCAGAATATAATTTACATTGCTGGAATTCTTATAATTTGGTGATCATTTTGAATATAAACATCATATATTTTGCATTAGACATACAAATTTTAGATAAAAAATTTTTCTGAGTAACTATGTTATCTTTTGTGCAAAATATATGACATTTATATTCAAAATATTCCTGGTCTTACAAGGAATCCAGCAATGTCAATTGTATTATCCTAACTTTAGTTTGAGGTATTATTTATTAAAATTTAGTGGTTTTCCCCCAAAAATTTCTCAGAGAGGGAAGAGCCGGCAGTGTAGTGTGAGAGGGGGAGGGAGTTGAGTCCATTATTTGAATGGACATTAACTTGGCGACTGTATTTCTCTATTTCTCTTAAGTATTAATTGTGTGCATGTACCATCATAAAATTAAGATGTTATTTTTACTACAACATAGTTATGTGTCTTCAAAAAGTGGAGTTTGGGGGTCGGGCCGGTTTCTATTGGAATTAATCCCATATGTTCTGTTGTTCACTTAACGCGGATTTCACTTAACACGGGACCCTCTGGGTTCTAATTAAGTAACTGTGTATATATATATATATATATATATATATATATATATATATATATATATATATATATATATATATATATATATATATATATATATATATATATATATATATATATATATATATATATATATATATATATATATATATATATATATTATATATATATATATATATGGATTGAAGCTCAAGGTATTATTTCTTATTAGTGTGATTCTGAACCACATTATACAAATGAGCATGTCTTATAAACAAAATATAGATTGGAAGTTGCATTCTGCTCTAAATAAAACTTAATCTAAGCTTAAATGATAATCAAATAATAATATGTTGTATATATAAAATTACTCTATAATACACAGCAGACATCAAATTAATAAAACAGTTGCACATAACTAAATATACACCTCAGTGAACACCGAAAATGGTATGTCAAAGTATATCTACTTTGGTTACCTATATCAATATTACAAAGTTTACTAAAGGAAAGTTAATCACATAAAAGTACACAATAGACAGAAACTGGGTTATAAATTCTATGAGCTTTAGTCATAAAACATTGATTTTCTACTGTATCAAAATGTTACTGTTGTAATGTATGTGTGGAAGATACTGAGCACATAAATGTATCAGAATATTCATGGTATAATATAAGTGTGGGAGATGATCTGCACGTAACTGTATCAATGAAGATGAAAGTTTCCAAGATGAAGAAATACATACAACATAATGTATTATACTACCCTGGAAGATATATTTGCTTGATGAGTCTTCACGGAACCTCATGGGAAATGTCTTTAATTTTATCCACATTCTATTCATCTAGAAGTGGTTCAAATAACCTCAGCAATCAGCATACAAGCCCTGGCTGAGGGTCATCTGAGTGCTCAAAGTATTCAATGATGGCTTCCACACTGGCATATGTTCCCGTGACGAAACACACAACTCCAAACACAAAGATGCAAAAGCACTTAATCATATTTAGTCTTGATACTCTGAAATAGAAAAACGCCTAGAAAATTATAACATACAAAACATATAACTGAAGTATGAAATTCCATTTTATAAGTGAAGGAAAGAGACATGTGATTTACAGGTTTAGCCGACAAAAACACCCTCTGACAGGCTCCCACATCCAGGTCTTACAATACAGTACAGTACTGTAAAGATACTTAGAGCTAACTTCAGTCTGAATAAAAAGACTACACCTTTACTGGAACTTATAACACAGAAACTTCTTTGGGGTGTTAGTTAGTGGTACAAATGTATGTGCCTAACACAATTATGTCCTGGGTTCAATCCCCAGTCTGGGACATACCTATGTGAGAAGAGTGTTATCCAGTGTGACCCTAACAAACATGGCAGATTTTCTCCAGGCACTCCAATTTCCTCCAGTTCTAACACTGGACAATGAAGGTCATAACAAAGAACAGAGAGCCTTTCTGAAAGATTAGGTAACTGATAAGTGATGAATCATTAAATTATCAATAAAATAAAAAACATCTTTCAAATCAGTGGACATAACCATAATCCTACCCTACTGGATCACTGTCATTGGAGACTTATGTATGATTAGGGAAAGAGACGCCCACCAAAGGCCCACAATTCCTGTGACTTCAAGTTGCCTAGGTATCTTGGATAAGCCTAGAAACAAAATTACTGCGGGCTGGCCAGTGAATAACCTATTTATCCAACATTCCCTTCATATTTAGTCACAGTTCTTTTGATTCCTGTGATTGGAGTAGAGTAGCCACCTTGCCCTTCAGCCCTGCCTTAATCCCTCTATTAACATCAGTAAGGACACAACCAGATAACACTCAATAAGGGAATGATAACAATACAGTTCTGTGAAAAGAGATAAAGAATAATATCCTTACCTGGGCCAGAATGTAACAATTTCTATAATGGGAGGGAAGATGATGGCTAAAGTAGATGATGACATAGCACCCACTAGTGAGATGAAGAGGCCAATGTTGGGGATGGCTGCAGCCAGAACAACTGTAAAAAACACAAACATAAAATATATCAACCAAAATTACAATAAAGTACACAGGTATCTAAATATTTTGTAATTGTATTACCTGTATATATAAAATATTTGTCTGTATGAATTTTGTCTCAATCTTGCATTCTTACATTAAATGCTTCAATCTCCTCACATCAAGATATTTTTCATATTTTCCCCTTTAAAACAAAATTTTCAAGCTAATTTTACATTAATCCTCATGAAAGATGTCTGATCAGCTGAGCAACTAATGGCATTAAGCAGATATCCATTTTATAGCCTGCTATGGCTGGAGTGTGGTGGTGTAGACTCATAGCCTTCAGACACCTGCTTCATGAGAACTACTCCTGACTTATCATGGATAAGGCTGAACCAAGAGAGATTAATGCTTAACTTTCCAGTTTTATTAAATTTCTGAAGCACGGTCCACCTAATAGCCATTAAATTTAGCCATTCACTTGTGTATACCAACACATGCTGCCTATGGAACCACAGCTAAGATGTTTTGATCAACTGAAGATTCACCCCATAGATACTGTACTACCTAATGATGACATAACTTAGCAACCTGTACATATACAGTAGAGTAATAATTGTGAAATGGGTGAAAATACTGTTCACTCAGGTTATAAATTCAGGTAAGCACAAAACAAGAAACACTTACATGTGATGAGCACCAAGAAGGCTCTGAAGGCATATTCACCTAGCCGTTTTCCACGGGCAGAGTGGAATCTTGGACTCAGGTGTGGCCACATAATTTCAGCAGGAACATACAGCATAAGAGAATATGTCAAGTAGATCGCTACAGCCATGAGAATCTTCACCAGCTGTGCTAAACTGGAAAAATTAAGTTATGACAGTTAATTTCTAAACAGTTAATGTACATCTTTTTGCCTATTAATTAATTCTTCATTCATCTATTTATATATAAATAATCAATTCCTACTATGTAAATTTTTGTGCTGTGGTTTAAAGTGCAATGTTTTGTGATATTACTGTATCTCACACCAGCATTACTACCAGGTACCTCTACATGTGTTGATCTTACAACATTACTTGACCTTACACCTCTTAACCCCATAATCACCAGGAACACTCCACCAATCAGTGACTAAACTGCCTCCCCACCCAAAAATCCTCATACATTTCACAAACCATGAGTGTATACTGAATTATGCTAGCTGTGAGCCCACTGTTTGCTATGAACCCACTGATGGCTGTGAGCCCACTGCTGGCTGTGGGCCAATTATTGGATGTGAGTGATGCTCAACACCCAGACTTCTGCCACTTTATAGGTTCTTGTGAAGTAACCCTTTTATCACACAAGGTATAAGAATTGCTGTAAGGAAGTTGTGCAGAAAGAAGTTAAAATTTTTTGTGCAGGTATAGTAATTGCCATTCAGCTGGATTTAGTAGGGTATACAGTATTACATATAGTATAGTATGTGATTTAAGATTATTGTAAAAAAAAAACTCACTGAAAGGAAAGAAAGAAAAAAATAGAAACAAATATATTATTTGGAATTCTGACAATTACTTTACATGTCTAATCAAAATACTATCACATAAGGGACCAAATGAGAACTGCACTGCACTTACGCATCACTGGGGGGAATATTTAAGGTGATGGATCCATGAACTGCATCACCATACTTCAGGTAGCCAAAGAAGCCCACCGCTATGTAACTACAAGTGACTAGAATCATAGCAGTGTTGAGGACGCCGTTACACCCACGAAAATCTTCTGGGTTAGTCATTTTTCTTTCTAAAGGAAGAACCTGTAAAAGATAGACTGTATTAACTTCAGCAAATTAATATTTGACAAAATAAAGACACATTTACAACCCAATAATCATTTCTCAGCACTATAGATTGATATTTTTTTTTTTTTACCGCACAGGTCATCGACCCACAATGGGGCCTAGGGAGCGAAAAAAATAAGAGCAAAAAGAATTTAAAAATAGAAAAGAAAAATATTATATTAATCTACACCACAAAGATGCCAGAAAACCTGCTTTTTGAAGTGAGACAGATTGTATGAGTATGGAAACAGAATGCAGAGCATTCCACAGTTTGGTTGTGTGAGGAAAGAAGGATGTACAGTACTATAACGGGTTATTCTAGTGTGACCGACATCCACAGAGAAACGGTGGGTACCGCGGGCAAGATGAGTGTTACGAGACCACTGCCTTGCCGGCGGTACACAGGATGCCAAATCCACCGAACATTGTCCGTTAAAGTACTTGTAAAAGAGAGAGAGTGAAGTAACATTGCGGCTAAGAGAAAGGAAGAAAGATTATCAACTAAAGGAAGAGAGATAATAAGACGAAATATCAGGCACAGAGAATTACTATGACTTATTATCAATATCCAATACAAATATTCTAAATACAGAGGGCAATGTTTTGGTTATTCAATATATTGTAATACAGGTAGTTCTGCTATAACGCGATAATTGTGTTCTTGTAAAATATCGTGTTATAGAAAATCGCGTAATAGAAATAACAGGGCTTATGAAGAAAATAGGGTTAGGTGCAGATTACTCAAAATCGAAAAAATTTAGTAGTTAGCCTAACACAAAGGATAGCACAGTCTAAATAAATGTTACATTCATATCTAATAATGAAATCATACAGTAAATGTAACACTTTACCTTGAAAAAATATGAATGTAACTTGATGGGGGAGAAGGGTGATTTTGAGGTTGATAACATCGAGCTTCTCTTCAAGTGTTATATCCTTTCTTTTACGATCATCACCGGGAATTCTATCACCAGAACGCTTCTTGGAGATATTCTTCTTTACCATATTCACAATTAATACCACAAAATTGGGGAAATAGTAAGCAAAAATCGCGTTATAGCAAACAAGCGTTCGCGTTATACAAATATCGTTCCTAATTCATAAATCGCGTTAGAGCAAATTCGCGTTATCAAAACACGCGTTATAGCAGAACTCACTGTATATATCAAAGAACTTTTATAAAATACTTTTATTATTTTTCAGTGTTCTGGTGAGTCATCTTATGTGCAGGTGGATATTAGATATCCAGTGAAGATCTTTATGATACAGTACTACAGGTTGACCATCAAAAATCCGGCAATCGATAAACCAGAACCTTCAGTTTTCCGGCATGGATTTCGGAGCGCATTTTCAAATATTTCTTAGTTTATTTAATGAAGATATATGTTTTAGCTCATAAAATTCATACAAATTACCTGGCCAGAATATAATTTACATTGCTGGAATTCTTACAATTTGATGATTATTTTGAATATAAACATCATAGATTTTGCATTAGACATACAAATTTTAGAAATAATGTTTACTCTGAGTAAATATGTTATCTTTTGTGCAAAATATATGACATTTATATTCAAAATATTCCTGGTCTTACAAGGAATCCAGCAATGTCAATTATATTATCCTAACTTAAGTGTTTAATTTTCTTTGTTTAAAGGACTGTACAGGTAGTAATTTTCTGTTAAACTCATACAGCAAATATAACCATCAGTTTTCCGGCATTTTCGAAAATCCGGCACTCCTCAGGTCCCGAGGTTGCCGGATTTTTTATAGTCAACCTGTAGCTATAAAAAACATGTCCACTATATCATATATATAACAACTTATATCAACCTTACCACTCCAATGCCTTCAAATGCATATATAGATGTGCCAAGGAAGAGGGGTAGCTGCTTCCATGACTTAAATTCAGGACGATCATATGAAGAAGGAATATCTTGGAGTAAGTAATGAAATGTGATGGCCAGTCCTAACCCCAGAAAAACATTACTAATGAGAGAAAACGGTGCCAATACCTGTAGAAAAAAGATATTGATAATGAAATTGCAGAACTTCATAATGATTATAACTATTAAGGTCATGGTCAATAAAATTCAGAAAAAATAAAAAGCTGATCATGAAAATCCCATTTATAGTTGACCGATTCCAAACAGATTAATGTACAGTAGGGTTGGGATATATCGCGACTTTATAAAATTACAGTCGGCCCTTCACATAAGCGGGTTTAGCATTCAAGGATTCGCAAATACGCGGATTGCCCCGCCAGAGGAATATTCTGTACATTGAAGTACATTCAAATTGCGCGCCATTCAAATTTTTTCGCGCGGCACCGAACACTGCACACCGCCCCATCCCGCTACCTCACACACACACGCACAGCGAGTCGTCCCCCCACCCTGTGCTCCCTCACTCAGTCAGTCTCGCTGTAACCATGCTTGTGTTGACATCAGCATTGTAGTTGCAAAAATGTTACATTTCCGTGAATGTATTATATCAAGCACAGTATGAATAGAATATCACTAATATAACAGTATTTTAACCAAAAACTATTAAAAAAACGAGTAACATATCTTGAACTTTGGAAGGTTAGGTAAAGTCTTTTGTTTTCATGTAGTTTATCCTAATTTACATTGAAATACATTATGTTTCAGCAAAACTATTATTTATTTCTGAGAATATAGAAATGTAATATTTTTGCTGAAATGACATAAGTATTACAGTGGAAAGTGACGAAAGCAATGACTTTCGTTTTCTTTCGTTCAAAAGATGTTACCGTAATCGCTTTTCGAATGGTTTTCAGTTAAAAAACTGTTGTATTACAATAATATTCTATCCTAATTCACTTGTGATGCAACAGTTTTTTAACTGAAAACCATTCGAAAAGTGATTACGGTAACATCTTTTGAACGAAAGAAAGCGAAAGTCATTGTTTTCATCACGATTTTATCCCACTTTCCACTGTAATACGTACGTCATTTCAGCAAAAATATTACATTTCTGTGAATGTAGTATATCAAGCACAGTATGAATAGAATATCATTGTAATATAACAGTATTTTAACCGAAAACTATTAAAAAAACGAGTAACATTTCTTGAACATCAGAAGGTTAGGTAAAGTCTTTTGTTTTCGTCATGTATTTTATCCTATTTTACATTGAAATACATCACGTTTCAGCAAAACTACTATTTATTTCTGAGAATATATTCATTCAGGCGCAGTTTAGGTAAAATATACATGTGATGTAACAGTTTTTTAACTGAAAACGATTCGAAAAACATGTACCCTCTAGCCCTGTTCAAGGAGAAGACTGGGAGGAGCTGTTTGGTGCTGAAGACGATGACAAGGAAAATGATTTTGATGGATTTTAATGAAAATATTCAGAAATATGGTATCGAAGTATTTATTCAAGTGAATTAGGATAGAATATTATTGTAATACAACGGTAGTGATGCTGTGGAGGAGGCGGAGGGATAGAGCGGGGAGGAGTGGTGACGCTGGAGGCGGGAGCAGGGACGAGTGGAGATGCCAGCCAGTACATTACGGGTGTACAGTATTAATTGTTTTTATAGCTCTTTTTGGATTTTAATATTAAATACTGTACATTACGTTTCAACAAAACTACTATTTATTTCTGAGAATATGGAAATGTAATATTTTTGCTGAAATGACATACATATTACTGTGGGAAGTGGGATAAAATTGTGACGAAAGCAATGACTTTCGCTTTCTTTCGTTCAAAAGATGTTACCGTAATCGCTTTCGAATGGTTTTCAGTTGTGGGATTATGAGGCTAATGATAGGATAGAATATTATTGTAATACAGTACAACAGTTTTTTAACTGAAAACCATTCGAAAAGCGATTACGGTAAAATCTTTTGAACAACGAAAGAAAGCAAAAGTCATGATTTTATCCAACTTTCCACTGTAATATGAACGTCACTTCAGCCAAAATATTACATTTCCATATTTATTTCTGAGAATATATTCATTCAGTCACAGTTAAGGTAAAATATACTTGTGATGTAATACAGTATTTTAATGAAAATACGGTATCGTAGTTTTCCTTTGTTTCAAATTTAATTAACAAAGATTGATGTTTCAAATGTAATGAACAAAAATTTATGTACAGTATCTATAAATAAACTTTAAAAAATGAACACTTTGTTTTACATCGTCCTGTGCTACCATACCATGCATTTGGCTACTTTGGGCTTGCTATGACGCAAGAGATCTGCCCTGGCAACTGTACCGACACTCACAGCTGGTGGTGCGTTGGTGCGTCGTTTCCATTGTTAACTGGTAGTTACTGGTAAATATTTTTCAACCTAACGAAACTATTACTCGTTTAGAGGTTGACCCCCAATTTTTTGCCAAATAATTTGGTCTTAAAAACTCGAACTACACACAGGTATATACGGTAAATAAGGACATAGGGGGCCAGGGTTTTTTTAGGGGGAGCAGCAATAGTACACGGATTTTTAACATTCACGGGTATCTCTGTTACCTAACCCCCGCGTATGTTAAGGGTCGACTGTAGTTTGTTATATGACGGCTACCAAAATTATCAAAATTTTACTAAACACAGCGATAATTTTTTTTTTTTTTTTGCGAGGGAAATTGGGCAGGAAATATTTCAAATGTACTGCCATAGCAAACAAATGCGATACTTGCTCACCAGAGGTGTCACTGTGGCTGCTAACTCACGCATACACGCTCGCCCGCTCAACCTTTCTGAGTGAGTGACGAGAAAGCAGCCGACTCTGCTGCAGATTACGACTTCTAAGATGAGTGTAAATAGGTTGCTAGTGACGTGAAAAGTGAAGTGAGGATAATGGAAAGCTTAATGGAAATGATTTAATACTGTAACTAATATTTTTGGTTTGTTCGTTTATGATTGTTAAGTGAGGGTGGCAGTGTGTCGTCTGTTGTTCTCGGGATGGTGCGTAAGCTGCTGAGTCTGGTGCAGATTCAAATTTCTAAAGCGAGTGTATATGGGTTGCTAGTGACATGAAAAGTGAACTGAGAATGGAAGGCTTAATGATAAAGATTTAATACTGTAACTAATATTTTTGGTGTTCGTTTATGTAGGTGTGGGATTGTCAAGTGAGGGTGGCAGTGTGGCGTCTGCTGCCAAGTCTGGTGTTCCCAGGATGGTGCGTCAGCTGCCGAGTCTAGTGTTCCCGAGTCTGGTGTTCCTTGGTATTGATATTGAAATAGCCTGTTGTTCCCGAGTCAAGTGTTCATTGGTGCTTTAGTTAGTAAGAAAATGACCTCGTTAAGTCAAGTTTAGTCACTTTTTTTGGCCTCCAGAACCTAACCCTATTTCCCCATTGATTACATGTAATTATATATCGCGATTTAGTATATAATGAACATCGTTGGAACCTATCTCGCGATATATCCCAACCCTACTGTATACTGTACTGTACTGTACCCAACGTGTCTTCAAAGTTGTAACCCCTGGCTAACCTCACCTTAATGGATGGCATTAATCAAACAATTAGTACCATAAAAATAGTTGGTAGATAATTCCAGCTCTCCATCAACAAGAGCACCAGAACAAGTTGCTAGAACCAGGCAACAACATACATCAAACAAACAATATGACATATCAGCAGTCTGGCTGAGGCACACTTGATGCTGCTAAATGTTAGTACAGTACATAATTGTTTATACCAAAAATAATAAATAAGAACAGACATCACTAAAGGTAAGATATAAATAAGGTACTGTAAATTAGACTTTGTATGACAGTTATAATCAACAAATTGTTATAGTTCTTCATTGGTAACTTCTGTACACTGTGAGTATGTATGTACAGTAAGTACCATACAGTATTTTATGGCATATAACACACTTAGCCATATTTTATCAGGAAGGATTTGTGAAAAAACTTTTGTGTGGATTTTCCTCCTGTAGCCATAGTTTTCTTAAAATAATGTAAACAGTGCCAATAAATGTGAGGAATAAATACAAATAATACCAATAAATAAGTAACAACAAAAAATACAGGGGGTCCCCAAGTAACGAATGGCTTCTGTTCCCGAGGACGTTCTTAAGTCAGATTTGTACTTAAGTCGGAACACATGTTATGTGCATACCGTACTTACAGAACAACATTCAAAATCCCGCTATATCATAGCCTAAGTCCTTATATACATCTAAAATCACTTAATTTAAGAAAAAAGAAGAAATAGAATGACAAAATACAGTAAATGAAAGTAAAAACTATGTCATCAGGTAAATAAAATACTGCACTGTAAATTTCATGTTTAACCCCAAACAAGTAAATAAAAGCCAAATGAAAGTTTAAGACTTATACACAAAATATTAATATACAAGATCTTAACAGTTATTATGGATTGGAGATTGAGCATAAGTTTTTTCTCTTTGTGTAGGTGAGATAAATGCCTGCACAACAAATTTTGAAGTTGATATGTGGAGGACTGTGTCAGGAGGCAAACAATCATCAACAATCTGCTGCTAATTTTTTTAAAAAGGAAGTAGCAAGACTTGTAGTAGGAGATAGATGGTTTTATCCTGGGTCAGTCTTGATCTATAGTCTACAAAATATTTCACAAACTACTGTAAATTTATCATATCTACTTTTAACTGATTTAAATTCCATTACAAAGGTTCTTTAAATGAAACAATATGAGTGCCATTCATCATATTTAGGGTTAACTCATTTAAATTTGAATAGAAAGAAACCTTATGCAAAAGAATGAGAATGAGAGAGGCTAACTTATAAATTTTATTATAAATATGGCTTCAAATAATGATAAAGACTTACCTTAAGAGAACGGATCATAGATATGGCTAACAAAGGCAGGATCAGGATGCCCATGTATCCATGTATATCAATGCCATTGCCTGGTAGCTTGCAATCTATAACCTATTGTAAGAGTAACATAGATTGTAACACAGCTCAAAGCCTTTTTGTTTAATTAATCTGGAATATTTAAAATCAAGAATGGCATTACAGTAAAGCCTCGAATAACAACGTTAATGTGTCCTCCAATATTGCAGTGTAAGGTGAATCATCATATCGCGAATCATTAATTACCAATAAAATAAAGCAATAATAATGAGATGCGTTCCAAAGTGTGACCTTTTCATATCTTTTGTGTGGCTTTTTACTCTTTTTTCCCCAAAAAAACAATACAATTAATGAAAATTGCAAACTATATTCTTTAAATAATGTTTCTGAATGCACCTTAAACAATATTAATGAATAATAATATGGTCACACAAGAAGAGATGAAATATATGTTTAAGTAATGTTATTTAATGTTAATAAATGGAACAATAAAAGTAGCTAACCACTAATGGCAAAGAAAAAAAAAGAGATGATTGGGAACGCCAACATATACGTGCGCGCATTTATCTTTTTAAGAATGTGTACAAAAGATTCATTATTGTTTATTACTGAATATGTATTTGATCGAATTAATCTTTATATAAGTGAAATGAACAATACAATTCATTAATAATACGTAGAATATTAAAACACAAAAGAGGATAAGAGACGGCATTGTTGTCAGTGTTTACACCCATAATGTCAGTTATCCACCTGAAACTGAAGAGATAAGACCCTGATTGTTGTTGTAGTAAAATTAATGAAAAAATATGTATGTTTTAATTTATGTTCTTTAATGTACAGTAGAAGTAACCACTAATATTAAAGAAAAAGTGAGAATGATAGTGGAACGCCAATGTATACGTGAGCACTCAAGGAACCATTGTCATTTATCTTAAGAATATGTACAAAAGATTCATTATTGTTTATTACTGACTATGTATTTGATTGAATTAATGTTTATATATGTGAAATGAACAATGCAATTCATTAATAATACGTAGAATATTAAAACACACACGAGGAGACAAGACGGCATTGTTTTCGTGAATGACAATGGTTCTACATAAGAAAATGAAGAAAATAAGACTGTGGTTGTAGCTGTAGTGAACCTAATTTAAAAAAAATTGAATACCTGTATGTATGTTTTAAGTAATGTTATTTAATGTTAATAAATGGAACACTAGAGTAGCTAACCACTAATGGTAAAGAAATAAAGCGAGACGATTGGGAACGCCAACGTATGAACAGTAAGTGAGTACATGTGAAAACATATCGTCATTTCTCTACGTATGAATATGAAAGCAACACATATTTACTGTTCATATACAGTATGTTTTAAGTAGTATTTATGAATGTACAACAAAAATTATACTCACCAATGGTGGTAAAGTCTAAAATATAAGGACAGCCAATGAATATTGTGCGAGTTTTTACTCAGATGACGAAGTCATCAGGTTCAACTCTGGCTGAAGCTGTAGCTTTCCATAAAGCTGTTGCTGAAACTGTTACTGAACCTGAAGTTGACAGCGAAGCTGCTTATGATGCTGAAGTTGATGGTTTAGGCCTTCGAATAATAAAGCTGTCGAAAGAACCTTGCACAGCTGCTTTCTTTTCTCATTATACATCTTTATGTAGAGGTCATTTGCATTTATTTAAAATTTAATGCTTTTTTCTGTTAATGGATCCACTTCAGAAAAGATGTTCATTGCTTGCTCCATATAATATCCACAGACCTCTCACCTTTCTCATATCGTTTTAACACATCTAGTTTCTCGGATAAGCTTATACCTCCACGAGAGGCTGAAATCAAACTAAAAGGATACGGAATTCAGGGAAATGTCCTAGCGTGGATAGAAGACTTTCTACATGACCGCAAGCAGTGTGTGGTGATTAATGGCACGAAATCATCATCCGTACCTGTCACAAGCGGGGTACCACAGGGCAGTGTATTGGGCCCGCTGTTGTTTTTGTTTCATAAATGACATGCCTGACGTTGTACACTCCTCCATACAAATGTTTGCCGACAACGCCAAGTTATTTCGGGAAATAAAGAACCAAGTGGACTGTGAAGAACTGCAGAAGGATCTCTGTGGGTTCCAAGAATGGTCGAAGAAATGGCTGCTGAGATTCAATGTCACGAAGTGTAAGAAGATGCACCTGGGGCGTACCAACGGTAAGGAGGCGTATCATATGTCCCAACGGGATGAAGAAACTGCACTATGTGAGACTGAATGTGAGAAGGACCTAGGTGTTTATGTTGACAATGAGCTGAAGTTCTCGGGCCATTGCGAGAAGAAGGTAAATCAGGCAAATAAATTATTGGGCCTTGTAAGAAGGTCGTTCAGATATCTAGATGGTCCGTCCCTCGTAACGATCTTCAAGAGTGAAGTGCTTCCCCATCTGGAGTACTGTCACCCCGTCTGGTCCCCGAGATATGCTAGTTGGTTGAAAATGTTCAAAGGAGGGCCACCAGACTGGTGTCTGCACTTCAGCACCTCAGCTACCCTGAGAGATTGGAGCGCCTGAACTTGCCTAGCTTATACTACAGACGGGCATGGGTGACCTAATTGAGGTGTATAAGCATCTCAAGGGGCACTACTCAGTCGAGTGTCCTTACTTGGAGCTGGCGGACGCTCGCCCCACAAGGGTTCACCGCTCAAGATTGAAGAAGCCGCAAGTCCAGAAAACTGTGAGGGCAAACTTTTTCGGATTGAGGGTTGTGAACTCTTGGAACAATCTGCCAGAACGTGTTGTGACGACACCGAGTATGGGCTCTTTCAAGACAAGACTTGACCAACACTGGAGCGGGTTCAGGTACATTCAGGAGCCGGTGCATGCCCAGTACTTGCCAACAGTGCGTAACAGAGACGTGACCGATCGCCCAAGCAGCTAACGAGCCGATCTTTTGGTGGAGGATAAAAGAAAAGGAAAAGTAATCCCAGACGTGACTGATTGCCCATGCGGCTAACGAGCCGATCAGTGGTGAAGAGGATAAAAGTAAAAAGTAAAAGTATACACTTTCTATTAGCTTTTGAAAAAACACTACCATCACTTGCTCTCTTGCTCATGTTGAATAGGGATGCAAAAATGCTGTAAGAAACCTGAGAAAGTTTTTCTACTGTTCCTGTTCCAAATATGTGAAAACAAACGGCCGGCCAAGCTCCGACTGTTGTTTACCACTCATTAGCAAGGCAGCTTCTTTGCGCAAGGCGCTCTTAATTTTTTTTACAGTAATTTTTTTTTATAATACACGTCAGGATTTGGTTATTATTTATATGAAAATGTAATTTTATTTTATTTTTTATTATATTTTGGTTGCAAATACGAATGAAATTTGGATGTAAATTGAATTGAGTCCTAAATTAACTAGGGTTTTAGATATTAAAAGTTGTTTGTCGAACTGTTGTTATCGGAGGCTTTACTGTATGGTACATCAACTGTATAATGAATGAATGACAGTAGCCAATTGATACAGTAGAATGTCGATTTTGAAAGTAATTCACTATGACATTTTATATACTTTAGTAACAAATACTACAATAAGACTAAAGCCTCATTAAAACATGGTCAGTATAAAGAGAAAAATTTAGTAAAAATGCAACTTAGTACTGTACAGGTACACCACTGATTTTCCAGGAAGTGATGGTCAAGCACCTCCTTTAGTCTGGACAAAATTATGAGAGGGCACTTAACTTCCCTCCCCCCCTGCCATATTTCACTGGATTTACTGTTACTATTAGTGTTTACTGATACAATAATGCTTAATAGTGATTAATCATGGCACTGTAGCCAGGTTAGACTCGTCACTGCAACCACCAGGCTACTGGGACAAGCTGTGAGGTGTCATGGTTGTTTTTCAACTCATTTTCCGGTAGATATACAAAACTTTCTTCATCCATTTTCACTCATTTACATGCACACACTATCCTAAATACATTTTGTAAAAAAGAGTAAAATAAATAATTGTCCTAAGGGCAAACCTGTACTCAAATGTACTAAATTAATTACTAAAAAATTTATGTCTAATGCAAACTATGGGATGTTTGTACATAAATTAATCACTATCTAACAAGAATTACAGCAATGTAAGTTATATTCTGCCAAGTCAATGCAGTAACATTTTATAAGCACAAAACTTAAACTCCTTCTATTTGATAACTATGCACTTTGTTATCTCCCCTCCCTGACAGCTGTCAACACTTCACCCCCCCTTCCTCCCAGTCAGGGTGAAGGTGGTTTTAGGCTTAAAGTTTTATCTTATAAAATGTCGCTTACTAGACTTAGCAGAATATAACTTGCATTGCTGGAATTCCTGTAAGGTAGTGATTAATTTGAGTATAAACATCATATAGTTTTCACTAGACATAAAATTTGTAGTAATTAACTTAGTACATTTGAGTACAAAGTGTGTACAGTAATATGGTGCTCAAAATTATGGCTTTTTCACATTTAATTTACATTTAATATTTGTTTAAGTTTCTAGCAGTCCATGGTGCTTTAGGGACAGAGGAGGTGTATAATTAGTGGGTCAGATGTGTATTACTGAATTATTATTACCTGACCTCGGTTGGTCCGGCAAAACGGATAATACGGCAAGGCTTTGGAACCAACGGTGCCGGAAAATCGGTGGTGTACCTGTATTGGCCTTCTACATGTACTGACTTAAAAGGATGGAGTGGCAGCCTTAAGGAGGTGGTCCCTCCACTGACTGGTGACAAAGACCATCTTAGAACTTAATGATATATCAAAAAAAAACTTTTGCTCTGGGTATAAAGACCAGAGCGAAATGAAGTCCTTGGTCTAATAAAAAATTACAAAGATCTATAAATACTCCTATTGAAAGATCTACTACAAATGCTTCTTTCAGAGGCCTTGTTTAAAAATTATTTAAAATTTGGAAAGTAAAATTGTAGCTAATCCTTCACTTACATATAATGGAGAAAAGCAGTTTTAAAAATCAAAATATGAAGACTGTAGAACTATGGAGATGATCAAGAGACTATCTTCTGTCATAAACTCTAAAGGAAAGATAAAAAGGAATCTAAATTTGATTTTCATAACTGTCAAGGTGAATGGGCACTAAATCCTGTTCAACTAAATAGAAAGATTGAATCCTGCCATTCCTTTGGACTTGCAAGAAGCCCAACTTTGTCAAGAGCAAACTGACTCATGGTTATCCAGCAGTCTTCACTACACCCAAAAGAGGTACTGAAGCAGTAGCTATGTATTTCTACATTATTCTGCCAAAATAATCTACTGTATTGTTAGCAAGTCATATAGAGTAGCTGGTTGTAATAATGGTTGACATAGGGTGAGGGTGTCAACCAATGGTGTGCTGGTGAGGGTGTCAACCAATGGTGTGCTGGGGAAGGTGTCAACAAATGGTGTGCTAGTGAGGGTGTCAACCAATGGTGTGCTGGGGAAGGTGTCAATCAATGGTGTGCTGGGGAAGGTGTCAACCAATGAAGTGTTGGGGAAAGTGTCAATGGGTGTGCTGGGGAAGGTGTTAACCAATGGTGTGCTGGTGAGGTGTGTCATCCAATGGTGTGCTGGATGGAACATGTTAAAAGGCTCCATGTGTCAATTATGGCTAAAAGCAGTTAATGTACAGTCCCTTTCACTAGTGTGTTTACAGGGACTCGTCATATAAACATTGTAAAAAACATTATCTATTGAGACATTTGTTTTAATATTGTTTTAATTTAATTCCATAGTATGTTTACTATTGCCAGTTTCCTTCTGTCGAAGGTAAACAGTCACGGGGCTGACACACTGCACAAAACCTGACGAGCACCTGTAAACGCACTACTGTAGTATAGGGGACTGTACAGTAAGAGAAATGTTGTGTTGAAACATCTTACAAAACAGCTGGGAATGTGATACAAAATGTAGCTCAATATATCAAGGGAAAGGCATCTTTAGTTTGATTACTAACTGATCAATGTGTTAGAACCACTTAAAATAAAACTAATTTAATTCAATTATGTTCTCAAAAACTCACCTGTTTAACATTAGCAGCAATGAATACAACATACACGCAACAAAATCCTAGCTGAGTTATGGTTAGGAAAGAGTTAAGGACAGTGCGAGCCACAGGAGCAAGTTTACGAAGAGGAACTGGCCCTGTCATGAAGGCATTGTAACCCACATCAGCATAGTCCAAACCACTTACACCTAATCTTTCTTTTAACTCATGGGCACAGCCAACCTGTGGGAAAAAGAGGTGAATCAAATAAGATGAACAAATTATGTTAAAAGTTTACAGCTGCATTAGAGAGAAAGAAGTCAATAAGTATGACTGCCCATTAGGGACAGTACAGATACAGCACATTGTAGTACAATATTATGATGCAGTAATAAGCAATAAGGGTAATTTCTTAACCACCTGCACATTAGTTGTACAGTACAGTAATTTTAATTCCTAAGTGTACATTATTAATTTTACTGCAAAAAAAAAAAATTATGAAATGCTAATACAATACTGTATGTCAATTGGAATATTGTGCATATTAAATATGAATTTGTAAAACAGTGCTAAAAATAAAATATATGAGACAGTAGAGCAAACAGCTGTAGCTGTTGCCATTGTGAGTTACAGAACTATTGAAAATAGGATATAATCAAACAAATTTGATGGACAAGGAGGAATTAGACTCTAGTGAGAGAAGGAGTCCTTCTATAAAATGGGGTTGTTGTGCAAACATCTTCTTAACCACACTAAGTATTCTCAAGTTCAGAATTGGCAACACAAAACCTATATATAACCCACAAAACTAAATTTTTGGACAATGTTCATGGCATATTCTCAGCAATTTGTGTTGTTCTTTATTAAACATTTTTCCCCTTGCAACTTTTCCTGTGTGACACAGAGTGGTTGGACTCAAGAACAACACTGAACTTTTCCACCATACACTGTCCTTCATTCTCTCTAACTACTGTACTGTACTGTATTGTACCATAATACAACCCCAAGATTTTCTTCAGGTGTACTGTGCTGCATGCACACTGCTGCCCCCTGAATTCAAAAACAAGCAATAGTAAGTTAGTGGAGGCAAAGCCTTACAACTTACCAGCATGTGCATACAATGGATGCAGATAGCAGATATGATAGGTAGTAGTGCTACACCAGTATATAGGCCAGAGTTCCTCACACCATCTGGCATGGCTAAAATTCCTGTGCCAATGTTTCCCTTTATCAAGTGTATTAAAGTTTCACAGTTTCTGGGGAGAACAATCACAAAAAATTAGTAAACATAAACTGAAAAAGGCCATTAAAAATTCCTATCTGAAGAAGGAATAATACTTAACCACCAAAACAGTAGAGAACCTCTTAAAACTGATAATTAACATATGAATGAATGAATAAATATAATACTGTACTACAAAAGTTAACAACAATATCATCTAATATTAAATGATCTCAACATTTGTCTAAACACTGTCAAACTTTACAATATTTCTTTTGCAATGTATAAATTAGGTATAAAAGTACAAGTCTATGAACAGACTGGAATATGAATACTGAAAACCATGATTTCAAAAGTCCCATGAACTCTAGACACCTTCAAATATCTTTTATCATGAGCTTTGTGAAAAATAATTTCAATCATATATGTAACATTTCTAAGCATATTCATTTATTCTACCCAAAAATACCTGAGACTTCATACTACTGAACTATAATATATGGTAGTGATTGCAAATGTGAAGGTACAGAGAATTTGTAAAAAATCCAAGTTTATTATAACTGATCATATTTTTCAAACTACTGTATCATAAAACTGAAGGCAAAAATAGTAACGTACTTTACAAGCCTGTAAGCTACATAGTTATTACAAGAGTGAACGACAATATGTAACAATGGAAGCCCCTCGAAATCGAGGATGGCCGGCCCAAGGGCCTCCTAGGGGTGAATTTGTTAAGGTGTAGAAGCTGTCACCAACACAACAACCACACCCCAAGTTAAGGAGCTGCATGACCCAGTGTCAAGGAATAGTCCGAGAAGACTGGACAATTCGCCAACTGCACTGGCTAACCATTACCCCGGAATACGATCCGCAAATAGATTAACATCCAGGTTCCCAATTACTGTACTGCTGGGTAGACAGAGGCAAATGGCGTAAAGAAACTTGCCCATAGTTTCACCCTGCCCGAGGAACGAACTCGGGTCTGCTCGCTTGTGAGGCGAGGATGCTGACCATTACACCACAGGTCGCCACAAAATGACAATAAGTGTACAGTAGTACACAAACATACGTAGTCTGTTGATGGGCATCATCTATGTGGTGACCCGATGCTGTGAGTCCTGAGTCCTCTGCCTCATCTTCCAATTCTGATCTCTGGTCATCACAGCTCTGAGGCAACTGTGGCCTCGCTTGTTCCATGTCAGGGTCAGGGTCAGGGTCTGAGCCTGTCAGCAAGGGGCGGTTTTCTTGCGTACTTCTGGGCATTGCTGATCCTTTGGGGGAATGATCTTTTTAGTTAAGTTGGGTTAGGTTAGTGCAACATAAACAAATGGTATAGTACAGTATATTATACAGTAAAATACTGCAAGTTCACAATTCTAAAGTGTGTGATATTACAAGTTATGGATAATAATAATAATAATAATAATAATAATAATAATAATAATAACTGGTCTTTTGTTTTTCAAAAGCGGCAGTTCTTCTAAAGAATTCACTAGAGCTCAAAACACTACAAAGTCAAAGACTTGAGAAAAAAAGGAAATATAGGACCACTTTCTTAAGTTCATGAGTCTTCAAGAGCATAATTCAATCAGAGCCACACAACAAGGTGGGAAATGGTAGAAAGCAGGCAGAGTACTGCAGGTCCACTCAAGGAAATGTTATTGACATATTTTGTTTCTTCCTTGGTTTTCATCTTGGAACATTCAAGTCATCTTCTTTTTAAACAGGCAAATTGAATCAACCCAACATACAGTACTCAATTTAACCTAACTATTTTGAACAGTACTACAGTATATTCTAAAAGAGAACCTAACCAAAACCCCAGATAGCATTATAAGTTGGTTAAATCTTCAAGAGAAATAAGCTGGGGGTATAGGGGTGATCCATTAAATAATGAGAAAGATAGTGATTACTGGCAGCCCAATCTAACTAAATAAGAACAGCTGAAACATGGTGGGGGTGGTCATAAACATTAGAATCCTTGGCAACATAAATTAAGGCAAAACAAAAATCTCCATTACAATTACCTAGGTGGATATACAGTAGTTATTTCAGAAGCACAAGAATGGTACAGTACTCACTGCTTAATAACAAAGTAGAAACATAAAAAAAAAAAAAAGGACTAAGGCTTAAAGTAGTTCACGTAAAATCTTGCCAGCTGTTTCATTTTTTAAGACTAATGTGAGCTAAATGACCGTACCTCCGATTTTATTTGCTCTAGAGATCTACATACAGCAATACTGTACTGTACTATGGGACAGGGGTCCAGGTTAACCAGCAGCTATATATACAGTATATGGAATAGTTTTCTGGAGCTAAATTATAATTTCTTTTATCTCTCCAAACAGGTGGAAAATTATAATTTTCATATTGTTTTTCCCAAGTTCTTGTTATAAATCAATATACTGTAGTCCATTCATCTGAGGATGCTATGTTTGCACATCAACTGCTAACAAACACTTCCCAGTGACCTTTCCATACCTTATCTAACCTAACCTAAAATAATACTGTACATGTATACGGTTACTAATGACGACTGACCCGCCGATGCGTTTTTTGCTTTGATGTTTATTTTCTTACTATATTTTCATCAGTGAGTTCTGATATGATAATCATTTCTGGTGCAAATGCTGCGTTTGGTAGACTATTAGGCGTCTAGGTTTGCACTGCTTGTCTTTCTCGGTGGTGATGTGCATCCCGGACGTAAACAGCCACTCATATTGACGTATTTCAAAACACTCCCCCACACCCTCATCTCAGTGTATGCTTATGAGCCGTTCGGTTCGAGCAGCTGCTCTCATGTCCACAAAATAAAATACCGGTAATAAATAAATAAAATTCCATCATATCATAATACAGGTAGTCAGTTCTTTCTGTTTAATATTCCAGGGGTCAGAACCTCACGACTAAGAAGTTGGTAAGGTTAGATAGGTTTCTTTGGTTAGGTTGGTGAGGTCTTCAAACAATGCTTCTGCCACTTGTTTTTCTTTCCAACACAAGGCCAAATTCCACTTGAGAACGGACTCTCGATAGTTACTGTCGATAGTTCTCTCATTTGTGTATCCACATGAGAGCAAACTTCTGCAAGTTTCAGCTGTTGAGAGTCATCCTGACAGTAGCAGTTGGTGAGAACTCTCAGTGTTGTGTCCACCTCAGTCAGTCGGTAGCAATGGGTGGTAGAGGACGTGACAGAAAGTTTGCTGCAGATACTCCTCTCTCCTCCTCTTCCTCCCGTGTCAACTTAGATTTAAATCGGCCTTGTATTTGAATACTAATGCGAAAAACACAAATGTCAATGCATAGTACATTTTTACTAAGAATGACATGAACAGTCATCTCTCGAAGTATCTGACTAAACTCGCCTATATTAGTGTGTGGTAAGTTATCAAAATGCATTGGTGAATTTAATGCAGCACATATTTTTGTTGTTAGTAGTATTCAAAGAAACCTTTGGCTTTACACATTTTTAATAATGTGAATAAACAAATACCATACCTGGTTTCTTAAACTGTTGAGTTTTCTAAGAATTTCCGACTCCGTGACATAAATTTTCTTACTTATGTCGGATATGACTTGGGATTTCTTCTCTCTGCTGTGGTAGTCTTCCCTCTTGTGATCCCACAAATTAGAATTCTCTTCATATAAGGATATCAACTGAAAAGTCTTCTCCTGAGTCCAGATTGCCATGCTTCACCTCTCGAGAGCACTGTCAGGCTGCGAACCTGGTTCGTTTAGCTGAGAGTTGACAGTTGCGGGCTACCATGTGTCCACACAATAGCAAACTAGCAAAGAGTAGCTGTCCGACAGTAAACTCAAACTATCTGACAGTTACTCTCAGAGCCATGTCCACTTGATAGTAGCGCTGTCGGCAGCACTCTCGACAGCACTTTACTCTCAAGTAAACATGGGCCTTAGGTTAAGATAGGTTTAATTTAGAAATCACCACTTTTTAACACATTTGCACATACTACAACAGTTTTAAAATAGTTTTCTATATAAAATTGGCAACGGGTCAATCATTAATAGTAGTTACCTAATGTACTTGCATCCTAGGTCAGGTAGATTAAGTTGGTTCACCTTACTTACAATAAACTATATAATGTAAAAGTCACTACTGTACAAGTGTTTGTTCAGGTGGAACAGTCACTGCAATAGGTCACTGGGAAGCATTCGGGTCTTCCTGCCTATAAAATATTCCAAGCTCGTGTTTACATGGGATGTCACCTGGAGGATAGAAGATCCATTACTGTACTTATAACAAAGACTTGGTACAAATAAATTTAGAAAACTACAGTTCTTTTACCTGTTTGGGAATATTCTTGAGGTAAGGAACAAGCTAACTTTATAGAAAAAATCTGTATAGTTTGTGGTTAACCCAAGACAATGTTCCGGAGTATTACCTGATATTACCTTCACTTGTCTTTGTGAAAGAAAATTACAGAAAAATTATTACATAAATTCCATGTAATCTGTCATCAGCTAACCCCCTCGGTGGGTTCAACTAATAACCCAAATGTAGCCGCAATGAAGTCAAATAATGGCCCTACATGAATAAATCGAACTGCCAATCACTTCTCGACTGGTATTTGGTGTCACGAAGTCACAAAAAATTGGTAAACTTAATTTAATCTGAGTTAATAGATCGAGTGCATGTACCTAACCTAACCTAGACTAGTATTTGGTGTCACAAAGTAAAAAAAAATTGGAAAACGTAATTTAATTTGAGTTAATAGATCGCGTGCATGTAACGAGGGAGCGAGTAATTACCCAAATGTAGCCGCAATGAAGTCAAATAATGGTCCTACATGAATAAATCGGACTGCCAATCACTTCTCGACTGGTATTTGGTGTCACGAAGTCACAAAAAGTTGGTAAACTTAATTTAATCTGAGTTAATAGATCAAGTGCATGTACCTAACCTAACCTAACCTAGCCTAACCTAACACAACTCAGATTAAATTAAGTTTACCAATTTTTTGTGACTTTATGACACCAAATAATAATCGAGAAGTGACTCACAGCCCGATTTACGCTTGTACGACCATCATTTGACTTCATTGCGGCTACATTTGGGTACATTTGGGTAATTACTCGCTCCCTCTGTACATGCACGCGATCTATTAACTCAGATTAAAGTAAGTTTTCCAATTTTTTGTGACTTTGTGACACCAAATACTAGTCGAGAAATGATTAGCAGTCCGATTTATTCATGTAGGACCATTATTTGACTTCATTGCGGCTACATTTGGGTAATTAGTCGGACCGCCCTCAGTCATTTTTCGTTAACCACCCATTACCCATCGCTAATTTTCTTGCTGTTTTAGATGATTCTGACATTTATCTTTGGGACAAATCACTCTTTTTTAGGTTAGGTTAAGTTAGTACATAGATCTAGTTTAGCTTTAACCTTTTTCCCATGAACATTATATATTTTTGCTAGTTTTCTTGGTATTTTAAATGATTCTGACATTTATTTCTGGTGAAAATCACTCGTTTTCAGCCCCCACCCACCCAAAACCCCGCATTCCCAAAGTGGCCACCTACATTGTTGGGGTGGCAGGGGGTGGGAATGTCAGAATCATCTAAAAAGGCAAGAAAACTAGTGAAAAATACATTTTTCATGTGAAAAAGGTGATGGGTGGTTAACGAAAAATTACCACCATTCCTCCTCTATTACCACATTAACTTACTGTTCACTATTGCTTGAACACCCCTTACCAGTGTCAACTTGAAGGATGCTTTTTATTGTACTGTATTACTATTTGTCCATGTATCTTTCTGAACTTGTCATTGCTTTGCTGAAAAACATCTATCTATACCTATGTGACGATTTCGCTGAGAAGACACCTATTTATCTCAACTTACAAGACTAATTTACGGAAAACTAAAAAAACTGAGAGAGAGAGAACAAGTGAGTCAGCAGCAGTGCAAGTCATATAACCTGCAACACAACCAATAAGACTAGACCTATATAAACCTTTGCCTTAGGCTTATAGAGGCACTTTACTCTTACATACTTTTATTAATAACCTCAACCTCAATACATCATGACACAAGAGAAAAAACACTGCCTTATGCATAGCACAATTAAATGTTTACCTTACATTTGTTTCTTGTTGTGTTGTCAAGATCCAGCTGATGTGTTTCAACCCTTTACTACGGCGCTGACTTGGGTCACCACTCACAGGTAGGATGGATAGATAGATAGATAGATAGATAGATAAATAAATATAGTTGGATGAATGTTAACTTTTATTAGATTTTACTAAAT